TTCTCTTTTATAACTACTTCTAGACTCATATACCAATTGATAAACAGCTAATCAATTGACTTACCAGGTCTACTTTCAAAATACTCCTTAAACTGAATACTTATTAAGTCATCATCATATATCGTTGTTTCAGTTCTTGTGACTCGTAGACTACTTTCTGTGCTTCTGTTTTTGCCTTCCCAATTTATTTTCTGTGAACTAATCTTTTTAAAAGGTAACATATTCAAAAGATTCTAAGAAAATCCATCTACATGCCATCACTGGTAAACTTCCTGATTGGACCTCTAGCTCTTTCCAACCTTATTTTCTGCTCTTCTCCTTGAGCACTGAGCTACAACCACAATAACTTCCTTGCCCTTTTAATCTACATTAATAACTATTTCAGGATATATGTACTTGCTGATCACATTATTGAAAAATTCTCTCTCCAGATTTTCTCGTGACTATCATTAAATTTGTCCTCATCAAATTTGTTCATATTGCCTATCAGAGAAGCTGTTCCTGATCACTATAAAATAGTGCCTTCCTTTCTATCCCTATTCTGCATTATTTCCACTAAATCCATATTTATTTGCATTTCTTTTTTATTAATTTTTTATTGTAAAAATGTTGTACTGATGGGGCTGGGAATGTGGCTCAGTGGTAGAGTGCTTGCCTTGCATGCCTGAGGCCCTGGGTTCGATTCCTCAGCACCACATAAGCAAAAAGAAAAAAGCCGGAAGTGGCGCTGTGGCTCAAGTGGTAGAGCGCTAGCCTTGAGCTGAAGAGCTGAGGGACAGCGCCCAGGCCCAGAGTTCAGGCCCCATGACTGGACCAAAAAAAAAAAAAAAATGTTGTACTGAGGGGTTACAGTTACATGAGTAGGGTAATGAGTACATTTCATAGGGAGCATTGTTACCTCCTCCTTTATTTTCCTCCACCATCACTTCCCTCCCCAACTCCCCAACCCCCCCCCACCACATTGTAAAGTTCGTTTTTAATATAGTGTCCTGTATATCTTGTCATCACAATGGGTCAGCCAGCATTCTCAATTACCCATTCTGCAATATCCCTTTCCCTCCCTAAATTAAAAAAAATATATATATATACAAGGTGCAGAACACCAGCATCAAATCCAGTGAAAACAGGAGTTATACCATGGGGGCAAGAACTTACAATAGAAACAAAAGAATCACATAGTGTATTGTAAGTACATTAAAAACACTAGCAAGAAAGAGAGGGGAAAAAAAAACAAAAAACCTCTTGTGTCCCTGTCTTGGGGTACATTTTGCTTAACATTATCTCACATGGTCATATGTATATAGCCTTTGACCTACTCTGCTTGTCCTAGACATGTACTAATCACTGCTAACAAGGGAAACCATGGGACCTATGTTTCTTTGGGCCTGGCTTACTTCACTTAATATAATTTTTTCCAAGTCTTTCCATTTCCTAACAAAAGAGGCAATGTCATTTTTTTCTGATGGAGGCATAGAATTCCATTGTGTGTGTGTATACATACATATATACACACACACATATATATATATATATATATATACACATACATATATATACCACATTTTCTTGATCCGTTCATCTACTGAGGGACATCTGGGTTGTTTCCATATCTTAGCTATGGTAAATAATGCTGTAATAAACATGGTTGTGCTGGTAGCTTTGATATGACCTTGTTTGTGATCCTTTGGGTAAATGCCCAAAAGTGAGATTGCTGAGTTGTAGGGGAGCTCTATGTGGAGTCTTTTGAGGAACCTCCATACTGCTTTCCAGAATAGAAGAAGCAATCCAAAATTTCATATGGAACAATAAAAGACACGAGTAGCAAAAACAATCCTTAGAACAGCGCTGGAGGAATATCAATTCCAAATTTCAAACTCTACTACAAAACCATAGTAATCAAAACAGCTTGGTACTCGCACAAGAACAGACCTGAGGACCAATGGAATAGGACTGAAGACCCAGAAATGAACTCATAGACCTATAGCCACTTAATCTTTGACAAGGAAGCTAAAGAAATAGAATGGAAGAAAGACAGCCTTTTCAGTAAGTGGTGCTGGCAAAATTGGTTAAACACTTGTAGAAAGCTAAAACTAGGCCGGGCGCTGGTGGCTCACGCCTGTAATCCTAGCTACTCAGGATGCTGAGATCTGAGGATCGCGGTTCAAAGCCAGCCCGGGCAGGAGAGACCGTGAGACTCCTATCTCCAATAAACCACCAGAAAACCGGAAGTGGCACTGTAGCTCAAGTGGTAGAGCGCTCCCCTTGAGCTGAAGAGCTGAGGGACAGCGCCCAGACCCAGAGTTCAAGTCCCACGACCGACAAAAAAAAAAAAAAAAAGCTAAAACTATATCCATGTATATCACCCTGCACCAGAATCAACTCCAAATGGATCAAAGACCTTGAAATAAAAGCAGACTCCATGTAACATTACAGGAAGGAATAGGAGAAACCCTAGGGTTTCTTGGCACAGGCTGAAATTTTCTTAATAGGGACCCAGAAGCACAACAAATGAATGAAAGGTTGGACAAATGGGACCGTATGAAACTGCAGAGCTTCAGCATGACAAAGGACATAGCTAGGAAAATCAACAGAAAGCCCACAGACTGGGAGAAGATCTTCACTAGCCATACAATAGACAAGGGCCTCATATCTAAAATATTCCTGGAACTCAAAAAGTTAAATCCCCCAACAGCAAATCCTCAAAGAAACAACTGCCTGATTAACAAATGGGCTAGACTTAAAGAGAGACTTCTCTGAAGAGGAAATAAGAATGGCCAGTAGACACATGAAGAAATGCTCAACCTCTATAGCCATAAAGGAAATGCAAATCAAGACAATGCTGAGATTCTACCTCACCCCAGCTACAATGGCTACAATCAAGAAATCTAATAACAAAAAAGAAAGAAATCTAATAACAACAGATGCTGGAGGGGATGTGGCCAAAAGGGAACCCTACTGCATTGTTGGTGGGAGTGTAAATTTATTTGCATTTCATCTTTTTTCAGCCCACCTTCCATGAGGAGTAGGGCTTCTAAATTCATTACTATGTCTCTAGTACCTAGAAAGGTGCAAGTTACAGAGTAGTTCCTCAATAGATAATACACAAATAATATTAAGGAATGATACCTTTAACAAGTTTAATTTATATTTCAACATGAAACCCTATGTATTCATATGAATCCTTATGTTTTCCAAGTATTAATTTTTATTTCCATTCTCTAGAATTGCGCTACAACTAATACAACATACTTTTTATTTATATGAGTATATATGTATATATACATACATATATATATATATATATTTGTGTGTGTGTATGTGTGTGTGTGTGTGTGGTATTTGGTGGGCTTAACTCATAGTCTTATGCTTTCTAGGAAGGCATTCTACCACTTGAGCTGCCACCTCAGTGTTAAGAGTTTGCCTTTCACCTAAAATATTTGTGTTTTATTTTTATATTATTATTACTCAGGTGTGTTATCTAATAATTATTCTAGCACTAGGGAGGGGAAGGAAGGAGAACTTCAAGTTTAAGGTTAGCCTCAGCTATGTAGTGAGACCTTGTCTTAGAAAACAAACAACTTTAAAAATCCAATGGACAGGGATATATCTCAGTGATACAGCACTTACTTAGCATGCACATAATTTATTAGGGAATCTGACATGCCTTTTCTTTCCAAGAACTGAAGTTCACTTTACCTATAACTTATTCCTTGACAATATGTTTACTATAACTTTTTTTGTTGATTGTGTGGCTTGAACTCAAGACATGGGCACTGTCGCTGAGCTCAAGGCTAGCACTCTGCCACTTTGAGCCACAGCTCCACTTCTGATTTTCTGGTATTTAATTGGAGATAAGAGACTTACAGATTTTCCTGCCTGGTCTGGCTTTGAACCATGATCTTCAGATCTGAGCTTCCTGAGTAGCTAGGATTATAGGTGTGAGCCACCAGAGCCCAGGTACTATAACTTTTTAATTTGTATTTTATAATAAAAGCAATCTTTTTAACGTATATGTCAAGATCAGTGGGAATAACAGTAAAATGGAAATAGGGACTTCATTCCTTGTCAGTTTTTGTAATATGATTATGATTTTTTTATGTTGCTTAGAAGTTTCCTCTGTTGAGATTTCTGTTTTTTACTAAAAATGTGCTCACCCTCATTGGATCCAGTGGTCAACCTGACCATACTATTATTTCTCTTTATCTGCTTTTTCTTCTACTTAGAACCTAAGATTTTATTTACTTCTACAAGTACATTAGAAAGAATGGGGAAGAGAATATTTAACAAAATAATATTAATCAAAAGTCAGCTTGAGCTAGGTGCCGATGACTCACACCTTGTAATCCTAGCTATTCAGGAGGCGAAGATCTGAGGATTGAGGTTCAAAGCCAGCACAGGCAGGAAAGTCTGGAGACTTACCTCCAACTAACCACCAGAATACCAGAAGTGGCACTATGGCTCAAGTGGTAAAGTGCTAGCCTTGAGTTGAAGAGCTCAGGGACAGCACCCAGGCCCAGAGTTCAAGCCAGATGACTGACACCCCCCCCAAAAAAAAATCAGCTTGACATTAGATTTAGCATATATCCTATAACACATAATTAGATGTTTAACTTGTGACAAGATGTGTTTGGCATTTTATTTCCTGTATTTTAATCTAACATTCTTCTAATCCTTAGGCAGGACCAATCTTAATTTTAGGATATGGGTAAAAGTCATTGGCATAGTGACTTGCCATTTTGCTTAACGTTTTGCAGTTCTCTCCATGTGTGGATCATTGGAATTTTACAAGTTCTAACATTCCCATTTAGACATATTCCTGACAATGAGAGAGATATAAAACCAGCACTGGCCAATTTTCTCATGCATTCTTATAACACTTTTTTCTGGCTTAGTACCCTTAGCATTTGTCAACTATTTTGTAGCAGGTTACTTCATCAGAAATTTTAGGATGGTTAACGTTACTAAATAAGAAATTAATTTTTGTTTTTTGTTTTTTCCAGGTGTATGGTGGCTGATGAAGTAAGTGTTTTCATGTCTTTTATATAATTTCACAAGTAGTTTTTAGTATCGTCTATTTTTTATATTCACTTTCTTCCTATTTTTCCATGTGACCATATGTCTATCTGTACAGGATATAGGAAGACATAGGGTTATGGGTAGGCAGTGTGAGAAAGAAGAGAGTGAAAGATGTTGGAAGGGATGTAGTGTTTTGGGGGCATGAATGTGTATTTTCAAGATGTGTTTGTGGAACATTAGTTAATGTTTACCTCACTTATCCAAAATTTGATAGTGTTGTCTACAATGCACAAACATTCTTTGAATATTCCCAAATAGCAGACCCTTTTTCTTTTTTCTTTATTTTGTATTTTTTATTGTAAAAATGCTGTACAGAGGTGTTACAGTTACATGAGCAAGGTACTGAATACATTTCCTATTGAGCATTGTTACCTCCTCCTTTGTTTTCTCCCTCCATCCCTTCCCTCCCACCTCCACAAAAACAACTTCCCCCCACCCCGCAATCCCCAAAGTTGTAAAGTTCACTTTCAGCATAGTGTTTTGTACATCTCATTGTTTCAATGTGTATCCAGTATCTTTATTTAAGCTTTTTGTTTTTTCCCTTTTCCCTGAATCAGAGAAGTGTATATACAAGATAGATACAGGGCACCGATATCAAATACAGTGAATACAGGAGTTATACCATGGGGGAGGAACATGCAAAGAAACAACAACAAAATCACATGGTACATTATAAATATGTTAGAAACAATAGCAAGCAAGAAAAAAGATATTTGTGCCCCTATCTTGGGGTTCATTTCTCTTAACATCATCTTACATGGTCATATGTACATAACTTTTGGCCTCTTCTGCTTATACTACACATGCACTAGTTATTGCAAATAAGGGAAACCATGGGACCTATGTTTCTTTAGGCCTGGCTTACTTCACTTAATATAATTTTTACCAAGTCTTTCCATTTCCTAACAAATGGGGCAATGTTATTCTTTCTGATGGAGGCATAGAATTCCATTGTATATATATACCACATTTTCTTGATCCGTTCATCTACTGAGGGGCATCTGGGTTGGTTCCATATCTTAGCTATGGTAAATAATGCTGCAATAAACATAGTTGTGCTGGTAGCTTTAGTGTGGTCTTGTTTGTGATCATTTGGGTAAATGCCTAAAAGTGGGATTGTGGAGTCATAGGGGAGCTCTATGTGGAGTCTTTCGAGGAACCTCCATACTGCTTTCCAAAGTGGTTGAACAAGTTTACACTCCCACCCACAGTGCAGTAGAGTTCGCTTCTGTCCACATCCCCTCCAGCATCTGTTATTAGAATTCCCAATTATAACCATTCTAACTGGGGAGAGGTGGAATCTCAATGTTGTTTTGATTTGCATTTCTTTTATGGCTGGAGAAGTTCAACATTTCTTCATGTGTCTATTGGCCATCCTTCCTTCCGCTTCAGAGAAGTCTCTCTTTAAGTCTTTAGCCCACTTATTTATTGGGCAGTTGTTTCTTTGAGGATTTGTTGTTGGGGAATTTAATTTTTTGAGTTCCAAGTATATTTTAGATATGAGGCCCTTGTCTGTTGTATGGCTAGTGAAAATCTTCTCCTTGCTAACTATATCCTTTGCCATGCTGAAGCTCTGCAGCTTCATGCAATCCCATTTGTCCAACCTTTCTTTGATTTGTTGTGTTTCTGGGTCTCTATGAAGAAAATTTCGGCCTGTGCCAAGGAGACCTAGGGTTTCTCCTATTCCTTCCTGTAGTTTTCAGGGTAGCAGACCCTTTTTCTACCTGTCATATTACTGCTTCCTTAAAAACTAATTTTTTTTTTCAGTCGTGGAGCTTGAACTCTGGGCCTGGGCACTGTCCCTCAGCTCTTTAGCTCAAGGCGAGCACTCTTGAGCCAAAATGCCACTTTTGGTTTTCTGGTGGTTAATTGGATATCTTCTTAGCTCAGGCTGGCTTTGATCCGTGATTCTCAAATCTCTGCCTCCTAAGCTAGGATTACAGGCACTGGTGCCCAGTTAGAAACTAAATATTTAGATTTTCCTCTAAAAGTTATTTTTAATTCTTTTCTATGAATATGAAACTAGGTGGCATTGTATAAGTAAACAATCTTTTTTTTGCGGGGGGGGGGGTTCAGGTCGTGGGGCCTGAACTCTGGACTTGGGCGCTGTCCCTCAGCTCTTCAGCTCAAGGCTAGCACTCTACCACTTGAGCCACAGCACCACTTCTGGCTTTTTCCTTTTTGCTTATGTGGTGCTGAGGAATCGAACCCAGGGCCTCAGGCATGCAAGGCAAGCACTCTACCACTGAGCCACCTTCCCAGCCCTGTATAAGTAAATAATCTTATACATTAAAGTAGCATGTACTTAGGTGTACATCCATATTAATGTTTTCTCACTGAAATTGAAACTCTTATTTGAACTATGATTATGGACTTTTTCAAAGTTTTACAGTACAAATCAGCAAATTCTATTTTTTAATGCTAGTTTAAGAAACATGTTGGTGTTGTTCATGATGGTTTTTTATGAGTAATAGCAAAACATACTTTTCAAAATACAGTAGCAACAAAGAACTTGAACCTCAATTTTATAAAAGTTGTAGTCTTATTACAAAATTCTTTTAATTAATTGTGATTTGGTTTTAGTTATATATAGTCTTTTACCAGTAACTCCTTTCTACAGCTGCTTCTTTAATAACTCTTCTTAAAGTTGGAAGCGTGGCTCAGTTAGTGGAGAGTTAGCCAGTGAGCAAAAGTAGTTGCAGATACTGAGTTTGAGTCTTCGTCTCAGACCTATAGAAAAATAAAAAGTCTTCTTTAATAATTCTTCTCCACAGCTTCTTTGTAGGGAAATTAATGTAGAGTTTCTCAGTTCATGCTGATTTATAATTACCTAATTTTTTGGTTTGAATTCTTCACTTAATAGGCACTTAATTAGCTAGATGTTATGACTAGAAGCATTGTCTCTGATTATCTTTAGTAATAGAATTGGGGAAACAAAACGTAGACATTTGGGAACCAATTACCAGAAATTTCTTTTCTATAGTATGACGAGTTCCAAAAGATTGTTCAGAAATTAATACTTTTGAAAGTCAAAAATAACTGAAGGAGACTTTTCTTTAGTTCACAAACATGTTTTCATCAAAGAGAATATGAATTTATTTTTACAATCTCAAGCAAGGTATAATCATTTCTACCAGTATCACATATATAATTATACATAATATGTAGTATGTATATACACACATATATAATATATACAATGCATGTATATATAAACTGTCAGAATGGATCAAATTTATATCCACAGAAAATATATTATTGAAGCTAATACTGTTCTTGATTATCTCCATAAGTAAGTCATGGACAAAGTCTTAACAACCTTGGTGTCCATTTTGATGTCATAGAGATTTGAATCAAGAGAATTCGCAGTTGATTGATACAAACATTGATTGAAATAAACATTTTATCAGCACCTAAACCTCAATTGACTGATATTGTCCAACAATTTCTATTCTCAGTAATCATTAGAATAACCATTATTCAGGGTTCTTGGTAAACCCTTACTTAGCAAGTCTTTTCATTATACCAGGTGCTTTTCATCATCGCTTGTTATTTTCAGTTACTTAGCACTTCTTACATGTTGAATGATTTGTCATCATCTTTCAAAATCTTTTAATTTTTAAAATTTAATTAGTTCAAAGAGCCATTGAGTTTTATAATATTTACAATTCCTTTTTTTTTGGTGCCCATCCTGGGGCTTGAACTCAGGGCCTGGGCATTGTCTCTGAGTGGTATACTCAAGGCTAGTTCTTCTGTACCACTTGAGACACAGCTTCACTTCTGGCTTTTTGGTGGTTAATTGGAGATAAGAGTCTCAAGGACTTTCGTGCATGGCTGACTTTGAGCCTTGAACCTCAGTCTCAGCATTCTCTGAGTAGCTAGGAATACAGGAGTGAGCCAAAAATCAATAGAATTTTGAAGATGAATTATTTAATTCCTATTTGATTTATGGTTTGTGATGTTAAATCCTATTAATAACGTCAGTTAACAAGAAAAGCCTCACCTTTACAAATGAATACAAAAAACAAGCTATAGAAATAAATAGAATGGTGTAAAAATCTAAGATCACAGCTCATTATTACTCCTATACTATTGTATTGGTTGAGTTGAAATGCTATTTTCATGGAATATTATTAAGCTGCTGCAGATGAAAGTGAGTAAATTAAAAGTGTTGAAGTAGAAAGAACTTGTATATATGTAAATTATATGAACTCTAGTTTGACCTTCATTCTGTTTTCTAATGCTCTTCTTTTTCTCTTACTGCAAATGGTATGGAGATTAGAGATGGAAGTGAAATTTGTAATTTGAAGGTCAACCATTTTTCTGATTGGTAAATTTAAAAGTATATTTTGGCAGTGATGATTATTCAACTCCTCAATAGCTGAAAGCTTTAAGAGAGCAGTTTTACTTCTGTTATTGTTTTAAAGACACTTGACTATACACTTGGAGTATTGTATAATTTAGCTGTCTGCTGTGATCTTCTCTATCTTTAGAAACAAATGACTTATTTCACTGATATTACTCCCTCTTCCTTTTAGTATTTTTCTAGTTAACTTCATTCTAATGCATTCAGTCTTTGTATAATCCATCTACTATTTATGACAGTCATTCACTTAAAACTGAAATATAGATATAAGTTCTCTTTTATTCTCCTTAATTGTGTAGGCATTGTGTATTACATAACTATTTTAGGTAAGCAACAAAGTTGCAATCATTTATCAAATGAATTTTACATACTTAGCTTAAGCTTCGCATTACCTCTTTCGTTTTCTTCATTTATATGTACTTAAGTGTTATTTTAAGTAGTATGCAGAAATACTTGTAAACTTGTAATACATACTAATGGAATTCCAATCATGGAGCATAGTTAGAATGTTGTCCTATTATATGTTTTTTTTAAATAATCAGTTTTAAAGTACATCTTTGTTCAATTGTTCTTTGAG